GACCCATCACTGCATTCATCTCTTCTTGAACTTTTGGTGAACCTGAGATTAAACAGGGGTGAGCAGCTAAGCAGTTTGTTGTTAGCAGCCTTTTCAACAACCCTTTCAGACTGAGTAAATATTGATCGGTTTGAATCTGATTGCCCCAGAGGAAAACACCGCTGCATCTGAATAGCCTCCAAAAGTAAACTCTCTGGAAGGTGAAGCCAAAGCAGACTTCACAGTCCCAGAGAACTAAGTCAGGATAGTTTGAGGACAATCCCACTTTATTCAGTACTTTGGGTAAAGATAGAGGAAATGGGGGTGTGTTTGGAAACTCATTCTGTATTGCAGTTATCCGGTTCCCTGATTAAGACCTTTGTTTCATTTTTAAAATGTATGAACGAAATGTTATTTTCTGTTGTCCTTATTTACGTTATTTCTGTTACAATCGCTGTCATTTTTCAAGGTGTTAGCTTTGCCCCTCAGAGACCAGGACAGAAAAAAAGAGACCTTGAAATAGGATGTGTTAAGCGCCTTTGATTTAATCGATTGGGACAGCTAAAAAAGATACAAATGTTTTCCTTGTTGAAAGGTATATTAATGTCTCCTAAATGCATTGCTTGTTAGCTGATTTATTCTACCACCTAGGAAAGGCTAGGGATATTTAGCCATAATTTATCGTTCTCTTCCCTCTCAGCTACATTAAAACCAGCACCTTGAAGATAGGAATCTCTAGGATTTCAGCAGGTCAGACCCTGCTTTCAGATATTGAAATCAGGACAGTGGTATGCAAATGGCACTTTAACACATTAAAGAATTTGAAAACCAGCCATCTGTTTTGCTTTGTGGCCTTACACTAATAAACAAAAGATACAGTATAGCCAGGCGGGAAATGAAAGAAAGGGGTGGTGTCTTTGAAGTTCTCTCCATCCACTTGAATCTTTTCAGGCCACCTCAGAACCAGCAGCTGAGGGAGGGTGCCCAGAGCCCTTGATATGCACGAAGCAACTGCTCCCACAAAGTCCATCCCATTTAACAGGGATGTGCAGGAAATCTCACAAGTGTTCTAGAAGGCCTGCAAATTCCGAAGGTTTGTAGGTTTTTCTCCCCAGCCCATCTTTGCAAAACACCCTTTGAAAAGGAAGGAAGTCATATGTCTGTATCTGTGATGCTGTAGATTTTCTACTCTGCTCTGAGGGCTCAAAGCCTCCAAATATGTGTGAAAACTGAGGATGGTCCAACATTTGCCTAGAATGTACAAAGCTCTGAGCCCCACCCCCAGCACCACCAGGAAAAGAGTTAGAAAATGTTGGTTAAACCCTGAAATATGTTAAAAATAAAAAGAAATAGGCAAGAGGTCTAGAAAAGCCATGTTGAATGTCATCATTTGTTGACTCCCTCTGAGATCTGAGGCATGCCTCAATCAGAAACAACTTGGATATACAAAGATGTGAGCTGGTTTCCACAAGGTCAGCTAGAAGAATCTGAATTTAGAGAAGAGAGTATAAACTTCTGTCCAGCCTGTGTGGCATGGAATTAGAAAGGAGAGCCTTTGCAGTCATGTTGCGTGTTGGCATGACATGAAGGCTGAATCTGAGGGTAAGATGTACAAGGCAGAGATGTGAGGAAGTGGTGGAAAGGATGGGCATTGATAGAAAGAATGGGGGCAGGGAGGCAAGGCTGTATTGAAAACACACCATACTCAACTTAAAAGATAGAATATATTGAAACACTGCCTGACAATCCAAAACAGAAAGGGGGGATCCTTACCAGGGTTTTATACTGAAGCTGATTAAAAGTGAATCTCTCTGCTCTTGGTTCCCTGATGTGAGGAGAGACTGACTGAAGACAGTTTTTAGCTTTTGAAGGGGCTCTGTTTATATATGTGTCAACATTCAGTTGGAGGTGAAAAGGTTAGCACTTGACCCAGGAAGTATCCATGTTTGTTTCAAAAATAGATCTCCTTCATTCATTCCTTCATTAGTTTTTTCCATTTTGAACTTTGATTATAATAAGGAGCTGTTGTTATGATAAAGAGATCAGTGCATTAGACACTGGCTGGATGAAAATCTACTTACAAGGAATGCTGCAAGCTATATGACAATGGAAGGCCCACTTCTTTGAAAATAAATACCACCCTTCTGTCCTTCCCCTTATAGTAAGACACAAATTATAGCCCAGACAAATACACAGATGCTTAAGCATACCTGAAACTTGAATATTTTTATTACAGACATCTTAAGACCCGTAAACTCTGCTCTGGATCACATCCCTCCAGGATCTCAGAGCTGTTCATGATTGTACAAGAAATGGGGACTATCATAGGCTCACAAAGGATAACTGATAGAACTCAGTGTGGTACTTCAGGGACATCAAAACATTGTGCAACATGCAGAAGACTATTCACGAATCACACAAAATATACATTCATTGTGCCATCACATTAACAATTAGCTGAAAATACATTGTACCCAGCCAAGATAACTGTGGAAAGAAAGGGTGATTGAAAGAGTACCTTTAGGTTACAAATAATCCAGCACACTTTTTAAATGGAGGGTGGCCAGAGAAGCAAGAAGAAATCGGTAGTTTGGGAAAACTTGGCACAGCAAAGGTTCTGAACTTTGGGCTTCTCAGGCCTTCTTGACTCTGCAAGAACAAATTGAGGCTATCTTCTGAGGCATCTGGTTCTGTTTGAATGAGAGGGTTCCCCCCCCACTTTTCACCCATAATCACACATAAACTGGACCAGTTTTGGGAGTCTGGCCACCCTGTTTGATATAGTTCTACATGTTTCTAGAAAATCTGTATAAAGATAAATCTCTCCAGAGAAAGCATTAAGAGCCAGCAAACTCACACATATGAAATCAATAAAGTTAAGAGGTGAATTAATTGTGTAAACACACTCAGTGAATCTCTTCTTCATGAGCCTTTGGATACTCTTTTTGTGTGTCCTACTCAAGAGCCAGGTAGAGAAGAACAATACACAGATAAAAGATGAGATGCCTCCCTTCTGCAAATGCCTGCTGACAAAGGGAACTGTCCTCCATAGGACATCTGAAAAGAATCTTAGGTTGTGTGTGGGGGGAAAAAAAACTCTCACAACTGTGAGGAAGGGATGTTGGGGACCACCGGAAATTGATGTGGGCACTCGATGTGGATTAAGGACTTAACTTCCAACCAAGTCTCCAGGATTCTCTGGAACTACATTATCTTGGCCAGGAGCTCCCTGGGTTGGACCAGAAAGGAAAAGAGAGACTGTAAAGAAAGGAGGATAAGCTAAAGATGTGCTTTGGGTAAGACATCCCAGCCCAGAGAGAAGCCTGGACTGAGGAGTTGGGCTGCAGTGGTCTCAATGGGAGGTAGCCAGGGTGTCTGAGGTAGATGATGCCGGAGAAGGAACGCAGGGCGAGGAGCTGGATTTCTCAGAAGATTCTTCAGCTTTCTCTTCGCTTCCAGGAGGAGTGGCCGGAGAGATGGGCAGGAGCCCCTCCTTCTCACGTTTCTTCTGCTTCATGCGGCGATTCTGGAACCAGATCTTCACCTGGGTCTCATTGAGCTGCAGGGATGCGGCTATCTCCACCCTGCGAGCTCGTGTCAGGTACTTGTTGAAGTGGAACTCCTTCTCCAGCTCCGTGAGCTGCTTGGTGGTGAAGTTGGTGCGCACTGCGTTGGGTTGACCCACATAGCCATACTCTCCAACTTTCCCTAGGGTAAGGGAGGAAGAGAGGAAAAGATAAAAATTCTTAAGCCCTTATGCGATTGCCCCAAGTTTGGAACAATATTCGGTTAACTTCTCAGCACAAAGCCAGCTGGGAAGCGCTAGTGACGATGTGTATGTAAAGTGTTAACCTGAAGTTAACCATCAGCGTGGTCAGGCTCCTGATTAATGGAGCCTGTAGATATTAACAGAACTCCTTCACCACCACCGACACCTCCCACCCACAACACACACACACTTCCTACTTTTAGACCACTTAAGCCTCAGCCCCTTTAAAAATGCCAAGTCCAGAAACTCCTTTGCCCCAACACACCTGGGCACCCTACACCACACACTACAACCCCTGACGACACTACATCTTTTTAAAACCCATCTTTTAAAATCATTAACTTCCTAGGAAACTGGGCACTCCAGCCCCTTTCAAAATCAGGCAGCATTTGTTTGCCATCCGGCAGGACTCACCTGTTTTGGGAGGGTTTCTTTTAACTTTCATCCAGTCAAAGGTCTGCGCTGGAGAAGGTGTCTCTGAAGCAGGGGAGCGACAGGCTTCTTGGTGGCTGGCGTGGAGAGGGGATAAGGAGTTATTATACGTGGCCAGGGCCAGGCTCTGATGCTCTTGTCCATAAGAGTGGTGAATGTACTGAGGCGAGCCCACCGTGCCCCCAGCATAACCCTGGTGGTGGTGGTGATGCTGGACCATGGGAGATGAGAGATTTCCAGAGTAAACAGCGGGAGCGCACGGGGGGTACCCACCACTTACGTCTGCTTCCTGATTTAATCCATAGGGTCCATAAGCCGCACTGAAGTTCTGTGCGCCATAGCTTGGACCACAACTCGAGTGGGAATAGGAAACCCCCAGGTTCCCAGAAGTCTGATAAGTAGCCGCTTGGGGGTGGTGATGGTGGTGGTGGTGGTGGTGGTGGGGCGAGCTGATCTGCACCCCCCTGCCCACTAGGAAGCGGTCGTCGCCGCCGCAGCTGTTGGCACTGACCGCGCAGGATTGGAAAGTTGTAATCCCATGGTCAGAGGGGTAGGCTCGCGCAGAGCAGGTCCCAGAGTCGCCACTGCCAAGGATGGGGTATTCCAGGAAGGAGCTCATTCTTGCATTGTCCATCTGTCACTGGGTGACTGGGTCCTGCGAAGCCCTGGGTGACCGTGCCAACTTTCTCACTTCCTCCATGGGACCAGAGAAGAAAAATGATATGAATGTACAGTGCGCAAGAGGCGGGGCGGGAAGGCGGAGGGCTCAGGGGAACGGACACGTGACTTTGTCAGCCAATGGCTGAGCCGCCTGCGAAAGTTTACCGGCTGCGGCGGTGATGGATCACCGTTTCAGTGGCATTTAAATCCCCGGCGCTCCTCAGTCTAGGTGACGCGCGGTCGCCCCCCCAGGCAGCCCCGGCCGCGGCGGCTGCTGCGGCCGCTGCCAGAGCTGACTTGGAGCACTGGGGCCAAAGGGAGTAGGGATTGACTTCTGCGCGCGCCCGACTCTGCTCGCCTCCGCCTCCAGGATGTGGGGGATGGGAGGAGACCCTCCGCGGCCCTTTCCCCACCCAGCCGAGAAAGCTGAACTGGCAAGAGGTGAGAGGGGACGAGGCCTCCCGGCTCTCTTGAGGCGGGCATCGGTAGGCCAGAACTCTGCTCGGAGCCAGGAGCAAGTGGGGTGGGAAGGGTAGGAATCTAGCAGACATCAAGCCCTCAGCTCGGGATGGCCGCCGCCACCCAGTCCCTACAGAGACTTGAGCCTGGGACCGAGGCGCCTAGGGCAAGGCAGCGTTACTGGCTCGCCCGCCTCGGAATGTAGGGGGACGTGCGCAAAGGATCGTCTGGGAGGAACCAGGGAGGGTGCGCACGGGACCAGAGAAAGAAAAGAAACTACTGTCCTCATCCGGGGGGTCTCAGAGCCCTCTGCCCTGACTCCTACGGGCCAATAGCGTGGCAATGGGACCTTCTGTAATTCGACCCCAGGGGGGCGGGGGAGCCCTAGGAACCTAGCTCTCTGGGAAAGGCCGGTGTCTGCTCTCTTCTCTGCCTTGTATTTTCCCTGGATCTCTTCCCCTTTCTCCTTCCCAATCAGCTTTGCTCCTTGTAGCTCAGCAGGATCCGGAGCAACTCTGCTGCTGGAGTTTGAGGGTGGAAGAGAAAGATGACTCTAGCAGACGTGAGGCCGGTGTGAGGGCCGGTGTGAGGGCCGAGCCTTAGCTGCAGGCCATCTGCCCGCTCTTAGAGACCCGGGAGCTTTCGCTCCAGCGTGGGCCTGGAGGGACAGATCACAGTTCCTACAAAGTATGATGACCTCCCACGTCATATTTCTCTCTTCCAGGAGAAACTTGTTAGGAGTGGGAGAGCCTCCTCTTCCCACCGCCCCCTATTGCATGTCTGGAGTGTGGGGGGGGGGTGAGGCCTGGCAGGTGGGAGGGACAGTAGACAGATGGCTGAGTGGATAGGATACTTTCCAACGGACTGTGTGGTTGCTTGTGTGAGAACTTCGGGTCACTCCCTGGAGAGACACGTGCAAATGTGAGCATCATCCCAGGACCGGGGTCCTCCGATGATGCTGATGGTGTCGGTAATTGGTGTTTACTGCTAGGTGTAATGTCAGCCCTAGGGGTGGAGAGAGAAAATGCCATACTGAGATGAGAATGGACACATTCTTAAGCAGGAGACAGTCAGTGGTCACCTAAGAAGCCTTGCAGATAATTCTGCACAGGTCTTACTCTGACCATGCTTCTAGCATTGGATTCAGCCATGAAATTACCAGTGTAATTTATGTATGAGTTTGAGTGTTCCCTTCTCTGTAGAAAAAGGAAGTTTTGTTCAGGGCAGTCACTTTTCAAATGTGTAGTCACTCTTCAGACTTCTGTGTTTTGTTCTTCACATACAGAAGTTGTGGTCCCCTCCACCACCATCATCCCGGTTCCAAACCCAACCATCCTCAGGGAAACCTAAGTAAACCTTGTCCCTGGTCTTCCTCAGTAGCAACCACTTATTTGGGGAGTAGTATTTCTCTGTGATCTTTGTCTCACCCCAAAGTAGGGCTAAGGGGGAGAAAGAACTAGAAAGTTTCCTCTGCCTTGGCTTCAGCTCTTGAGGAATCATATCAGAGGAGAGCAAGGTAGACCTCCTGGTGGAGGTTGTCTTAGGAGGGCAGCCCTCCCTAGCTAGGAGGAATGAAGAGACTCCTGTGTGTCAGGAACAGGAGTGAGAGGCTCAATGCTGCACTTTCCTGGCCTTCCACGGGCCTCCTCCTTCCCTGGGCCCCCTCTCTCCGGATTTGCATTATCTAGCTCCTCAAAGCTGCCCCAGCTAGCCTACTCATGCTATTCTCTTCCTTCGGTCCTCTCCCTCCACCTCTGTATTCCTGGGCAGACACTGGAACCCGGCCTACAGACGCCAGGCCTTCCACTGACCTTGCCCTATTAACTGCAGGCTCGGCTCGGCCTCTGCCGGCTGCAGACCCATGCTTTCCCGGGTAGGCTGTCTATGACAACCTCCCCCAGCCTGGCCTGAGTAGGGTTCTGCCCCCGAATTCTCTCCCTGCCCCCACCCGGAGGAATCATCGGGAAGGCCACTAAGTGGAATAAAAGACCTTTAGTCTTTAGAGCAGGGAGGCCAGCGACCCACGCAATACCAATCGAGCAAAAGTCTCTTTAAATAGCCCCCAGTAGAGTGGGTGAAAGGCGAGCTTGGGCCATGAGTAAAATAATCCTCTGCAAGCGGCTTGTTTGGCTCCAAGTGCCTCTTTCAGGGCTCTTCCACTGGAAAGGGAATGAGCAAGGAGGAGACAAACCGAGGCCTGGAGCTGTTCTTGGCATCCGCGGCTCAGCCAAGCTGTTGTTTTAAAAGAGCAATAAAAATGAATTATGACTAAACGCCTTCTAACTTAATGCTTTCGGACGGGGATCCCCGGCAAATACGTAAGAGGATTTTTATTTGTGCATGTGTTCCTGCAATTGATCTCTTTGATGACATTCTCATTCATAAAAAGCGTTTGATTTATGGGCTTAGGACGAATCGCATCCAGGAGCTGAATAGCCCTGCCACAGCCAGGGACGCCCTGGTCGGCTCTCTTGGAGCCTGGGGCTTGAACCTCCACAGTTTCCATACCAAGGCTGCTGAGGGCCTGGGGGAGTAAAGGTGGAGGGAAGGTAGGGAGCATGCCCCTGAAAAAGATGGAGGTTTCATTGTAACTCCCAAGCCTTTGCAGTTAGAGCTGGGTTCTTAAACACCAATCAGCTCGCCCCACGCACATGTTGCTGCTGTTTCTCACGGTAAGTAAGTCATCAGAACAGAGCCCAGAAAATAGTTAAATAAATAAATAAATAAAGTAGGGGCAGACAAAAGAAGGGGGAAACAGAACATCCCAATAACACACCCTAGATCATATTTTATTGATACTTCATTTAAAGTGCTCCTTCTCTGTCTAAGAAACTGGGTTAATTAATAACCTAAGGTGCAGAAATTCTGTTTTAAAATCTCAACTTGCTAACCTGACTTTAAACCTTTAATGGTTTATTATTAGCAATGTAAACAGATCTAAGAATTAAATTTTGTGTGTGTGTGTGTGTGTGTGTGTGTGTGTGTGCTGTGTGTGTGTGGGCAAGACTCTTGGAATACTGGAAAGAATCCTTCCTGGCATGCATTTTCCAGCTAGTAACCATTGTTTTGTTTTATTTTGTTTTCCTCTATCTTTTAGGTCTGTTTTGCCTGAGCCCCTCAACAACTGGGAGGTTAACCAACCACACTGAACATGAGGAGAGGGAAGGGAGGAGTTGGAATGTGGATGTTTGAAACAAATGTGTATAAATAAATGAATTTTTGGTAACTTGGTTATTGACCCAGAGACTGGTAGTTTGTTAAGGGAACTCCATTTTACTTATCCTAGATTTGGGAGTTTCTGTAGGCACTTTATTTCTCCACTTTCAAAAGCTTGGGCTGGCGCCAACTCAGGCTGCCCAATCCTGTTTCTATTATTAATTTAACTCTATGGCGTGAGTCACAACACTGAAAACCAAATCCATTCCCTTAGGGGGTTAAAAGCCAAAAAACACTTGCCAGAAGCCCTAGCCACATTCTGGCTTTCTGCTTTGTTGCTGTCTATTGCAGACTTTGAACATGCCACCCTAATAAAATATATTGAAATTGAAAAAGGTAAACTGTGACCAGACTTTTTATTTGCCATATTAGACTAAAAGAAGTAAAAAGAATCAGTATGAGCCTTGAGAAAGAGGGGAAGAAAAAAATAAGAAAGCTACGTATAGCAAAGGAGAATTTATTCTACCAAAAATACGCATGACAATGCATCCTAATGTGATACAAAAATAAAAAGAAAGTGACCAGACAATTTATGGTCACTTCCTTGCAGGCCTCATGTTCTGTTTCCAGGAAAATCACATAGAAGCTTGTTGGGTTCGGTGTAAAACGACTAAAACTCCAACGTAATTTGTAAGAGATGGCTTTAAAACTGGGTCCGGGTGAACATTAAACATAAAATCCTCAACATTTAAGAGAGTTGGGGGGTAGATCAAAATAAAATAAAACAAAAATAAACTCCAGGAATAAAAGAAGGCAAAACCACCTGGTCAAAGGGGTTTTGTGTTGGGGCGCTTTGTTTTGCTTTAAAGTTCTTAGTAATTCAGATGCTGTAGGTCGATTGTGGTGAGTGTGTCTGTAAAAAAGTCAAAGCTGTCAGCTGAAATATCTACAGGACTGTCCAGGGAGCCTGGCAAGCTGGGCGACAGTGCATCTGAAAGCTGCAGGCAGGAATCTGTAGAGAAAACATTAAAGTCTTGCAAGGAGGGGACCTCCAGGGCCTCGGGACTGTCATTGTTTAGGCCAGCTCCACAGTTCTGGCCCATTGTTGACAAGCAGTTAGGAACAGTGGGTGACTGATGCTGAAAATGTTTCAAATTTTTCTCATTGCTGGTTAAAGGCGAAACTGGGAAAGTTTGGGAGTCGCCATTGTGTCCGTTGGGAGCCTGCTGTTGAGAGAGCGCATTTTGCTGAAAAGTGTAGCCTTCCCTCTCCAGGAGAGCCCCGGAGACGCTGAGAGCTTGCTCAAAGAGTGACTTCTCCTCCTCATCCTCCTCCACCTTCTCTGAGTCCTCCAGGCTTTTATATTTCCCTTCGCTGTTTTGGTTTTCCTTGCACTGGGTCTGCCTCTTGTGCTTCATCCTCCGGTTCTGAAACCACACTTTCACTTGCCTCTCAGTCAAATCCAGCAGCGCGGCGATTTCCACCCTCCGGGGTCTGCAAAGGTACTTGTTGAAATGAAATTCCTTTTCCAGCTCCAAAAGCTGAGTGTTGGTGTAAGCAGTTCTCAGGCGCCTGGATCCCCCGCCACTGCCATCAGCTATTTCCAGGGATTCTGCGGAAAGGGAAACCAACAAGAGACACACGTACAGTTGAAGGTGGAGGGGTCTGAGCAGGGTTATTCCACTGGAGAATAAATACAGCAGAAAAGATCAACTGCAACAAAATGGCCGCCCCTGGATGCAGAGCAGCTATTGTGCTTTTTCCTGGGAGCCCGGCCCGGGCAAGCCCAATCTTCTCCACCTCCATCAAATCCTGACTGTGGCTCCCCCCAACCTCTTCATCCGGGAGCAAACTTTATATTAGCTACAACACAATTTATAATTAATGCATCAGCTGCTTAGCTGAGCAAGAGCGGTCTATCACTCTTCATTACTGTCAAAAAGCCAAACTCTAGGACAACTAGACAAGAGGAGGTCAGTTCCAACTCAAATAAATCATCCTACATTACACAAGTTAGGGAAAGTCCCCCCCCTCCTCAAAATATATATGTCTCATTGTGGAGCACAGGATCTATTTTCCCCTCCATCAAACCCTCTCCTGAGCCCACAGGGGCAGGGGACCCGCCACCAGGCACCTCTCTCTCTTCCTCTTCCCTCGAATCCCATGGCCCCCTCCCCCATAACAGCTCTCGGGGAAGCCCGCAGGGGGAAGAGGGTCCCGGGGACCTTGGGCCAAGTCTCCGGACTGACCTTTGTGGCCGAGGCAGGCAGGGCCTGTGGAGGCGGCGGCGGCGGGCGGTAGCGCTGTTTTCTTGGCCGCCTTCTTCTCCTTCATCCAGGGGTACTCAGGCGGCTGCAGGGCGCCGGTGGGCACCGGACTGCCGCGACTGCCCGCGGGGCTCGACTTGGGGCGGCCGCCAGCGCCGTGGCGAGGGTGACTGCCCGGGTTCAGGCTGGGAATGGTCTGCTCAAAAGGAGGAGGAATCAGTGTCGAGTGTGAAAGCGTCGAGGTCTTGATTGATGAACTTTGAAATGTATCAGCGACAGGGGGAAAAGATGTCAGGCACTCAGCGAGCGACGGCTGGCTATTGATAAAACCAATCTCTCGCTCAAATTCGTAATTCATGGCCTTCTCCTTGGAGCCCCCTCGGAGAAAAAGTTCCCTCTTTTGGAGGGGCTTTGGGGGGGCAAGGCCCAAGAAAAAGGCGAGCGCGGAGGGAAAAAAAATCTATCATAGAAGCTCGCTGCTGGGATGTTTTTTTTCTAATTCACTGATTACAGCCGTATGGGGACCGCGCTACTATTAAACTATTGAATTCATGGAGACAAGGTTGAAATTGGACCGAATTGGCTGTCACATGATTGCTTCTGCCCAATGACAATTTGGGCTTTAATCAAAAGAAGCCACTGTCTGTTTGATTGATCCAAAAAAGTCAGAAAGGAACGCCTCATTGGGGGCCATCGAGGCTTTATTTACACTTTTTTCAGGGCAAAAATACATATATGTGGGTGTGGATGGGAATGCCCCGGAGTGCTGCGTGGGGGAGAGAGAGCCTGTTTGCCTCCTGATCTGCAGGATCTAGTGTGCTCCCTGGAGTGTGTGTGTGTGTGTGTGTGTGTGTGTGTGTGTGTGTGTGTGTGAGAGTGTGTGCGTGTGAGCCCTGCTGCTGGTCCCGCCAGCGGCTGCCCTCTGCCTCCCCCGCACACTCCGCGCATTGTTTGGGACTGTCGGGAAGACGCCTCGCACCTCACAAATCATTTAAGCACCTCAGCCTGACGCCCGCAGTCATTAACAAAGTAATCCATTAATCTTCAAAGTTTTGACACCCGAGGGCCCTGCATCCCAGCCACATAAGTTCTGCTAAGGCAAGAGAAAAGAGCGGAGGGGGAGAGAGAGAGAGAGAGAGAGAGAGAGAGAGAGAGAGAGAGAGAGAGAGAGAGAGAGAGAGAGAGAGAGAGAGAGATTGGGGGTTTCCCTTTCTTTTCCTTCTCTACTTTTCCTAAAATTCAGTTCCTGGATCTCAGAACCGATTCTCTCTCTCTCTCTCTCTCTCTCTCTCTCTCTCTCTCTCTCTCTCTCTCTCTCTCTCTCTCTCTCCCTCTTTCCCTCCCTCCCTCTCTCCTCTCCTTTCTCTTTTTCTCTCTCCTTCCCCCACCCCACTCTGCCCTGTCCGCCTTCCCTCCTCGAAGCCCCTCTCTTCCTCTTAATGACCAGCCTGGGATCTGCGCCCCCCCAGCCCATTGTTAGCTGGCTTTTTCCTCTGCAGCTTTGCATCTGGCTCCTGCGGGCAGCCGAAAAGGAGAGGCGGCTGTCGAAGCTTGCCGATCTTCCTACGCCATCAACTTCTCAGGAGTGTCTGGAGAAAGATAGATGCATGTGCCAGGAGAGACAGCAGCCCCAGGTCCTTGTGTCCTAATCCCCGTAGCCTGGGCGGCGGCCAGCCAAAGAAATGCGCCCCGAGCAGGCTCGTGCGGCTTCTGGCACTCTGGGTTTCATACCCGTAGGGCTCGGGTGCGGTGAGTATTTCTGATTTCCAGGAAGACTGCTGGAACTTATCAGCAAGGAGGGAGAGGACACTCTTGTTCTTCTCTCCCCTTTCCCTCTTACTCTTATTCGAGTACTCGTCGCTCTCGTTGGGGACTGGTTGGTTGAGATGCAGCGAATGTTTCTTGACAGCCTGAATTGCCTTCCACACCTTCCTGTTCTTGGGCACCAGGGAGATCTGCACCCTGGTTCTGTTGTAGGAAATAGCATTGAGGGGAAGAGGGGCGACTCAAGAAGGAGTTACATCGCTTCAACTTCTCCTTCATTCTCTCTCCTCCAGTTCTGAGAGAGGACTTCAGATTGACTGCTGGACAGTGCTGAAGGATGCAAAAGATAACACCTTTAGGTACCAAGCAAGAACTTAAAAGGAAAAGAAAAAGAAAAAGAAAAACAAAACAAAACAAAAAAAAAAAAAAAAAAACCAGAAAGGACAGAGAGAGAGAGAGAGAGAGAGAGAGAGAGAGAGAGAGAGAGAGAGAGATCTGATGAAGGTACCTTCTTTCCCACAAAACCCAAAGGATGGCGATTGGTTTTTTGGGTTTTTTTTTTCCCCCTTTGAAATGGACCAAGTGATCAGAGTGCCCCAGGCCGGCAGGCATCAGTGGCAGGAAAATAAATCATTCTGATGGCCAAGGAGAGAGAGGTTGGTGGGGGAGAAAATTCTATGCAGAAAACAAGAAAGGCCGAGCAAGGAACAAGGGCAGAACTCCATCTCTGAGGCCAGAGATCTAAGGGGTTTGGGTTGAAAATGAGCTATAAAGTGATCTCCAACCTTGACCAACCCAGAGCCTTGCCTTGCAGATAGAGATGCTATTTTGGAAAATGTAAGGTTTTCCAGTTTTCTGCTTTTATTCCAAACAAAGCTCTGAAGGAAGTCTGGGTGCGATCAATCTTGCTCACCCAAAGCCTTGACAGCTTCTGGCCCTTAAGAACACATTTCAGCTTCAAGCTTTTTCCAAGCTCAAAAGTGGCCCAGCAAAGAAGAGAGCAGGAAACGCAAGTAAACAAGGAAATTTTGTCTTTTTAAAGA